AAAACGTCTTCTTCTCCACCTAAACCCCCCACCTCATTTGGGAAACGTCCTTAATTTGATATAATTTTGGGGATTTTTTTTTCCTTATGCAAGGAATGTTTCATATAAATGATATGTATATTTGACAAGTGGGAGTTGTTGAGGCGGCATATGTTATCATTAAATTACTTGAAAACTATCTGTAAAAACTGGGGTCCAACGAGGTCACTGGATCTCGTTAAAAATATGGTTGGCTTTCATATGGTGATTGCCCAACTTTTGTATGAGGGGTACCTTAAAAGCACAACAATTGACGGCTGAAGAATGCACGGCTCTTGTTGCTATGGTCGGCTGCATGCATGCCTTCCTTCGAAAATAGCTCAGCCATGCAGCCTTCCCAATGCCCTTATGCAAAAATGTACTTTGTTTTTTCATACTCCACAAATGTGTTGATCCTGAAAGTTGTTGTTCTATTAATTTTTAATATATTTAGAAACGTTTCCCATTCACATATACAATGTATTCTATATTACCAACTCATTGTTAGATAAATAAGACTACTCTGTATGTGTTTGTAAGAGATACTGTATAAGGTAATTCACATGTAACAATGCGTGACCAGGTGAAATTTTTGTGCAGATTGTTCTTCACTGAATGTCACCTCTTCACAAGAAATACTAGTGAATTGCACTGGAATTCAGTCTGGCCATTACAATTTATTATTGTGATGAAATGTTGGTCCTTAACAAGGCAACATGGGCACATTGCCCTGTTGTAGTGACAAATAATAATTTGACTTTTTTTTTTTAAATATTATTTCTCTATAAAATTAATAGAGCAGTACAAAAACTGAAACCAAATTTAGGGAATTAGCATTGTTGTACTTTCTAAAAAGTTCTGTACACTGCATTTGATAATTCGCATGTATGTATATGTAGATATATGCTCCGTACTACAAGTATCATCAATATAATTGCTTCTTATTGCACCCTTGCTAATAAAGTCCTGGCGTATAAATTATCTGGTCTGTTTTAGCTTTAAATTGTGAAAAGTGGGCTTAACATAAACTCGTCCTTTGAAGATATTGTACAAAGTTTTGTGTTAAATTCCTGCATGAAATTTTTCCGAAGATTACATTTAATACTAAGAAAACAATTTCTGATGTCTGCTGATCGGAATTCATGTCTCGTTCTTTGTGCCTGAGTGAACTGAACTCATCTCTTAGGGTAGGTCTCGCTAGAATAGTTGTTTACATACTGGTAATGAGACTGATTATAGAATTATTATTAATCATAATTTGTTGTACATTCCGTTAAGTAGCAATTATTTCTTTCTGCCTTTATCACTTATTTCTCATTAACCTTCAGAATGTCCTTTCTGTATTTCTGGTAATTACCATCAGTGTTCAATTAGTAAAAGTTACCATCTAGTTAATCATCCACCTGCCCAACAGCTTATCTTCTAAAAAGTATACCAAGACACATTTCCATTTAGCTGTTTTTGCCCCACGTTTTTGATGACCTTACCCCCGGTATTTCATTAAAGAATCTCATTATTTGAGCCCCTGTTGTTACAGCCAACAGTATAGTGTGATTTCTTTGTCATCTTAGTATGATTCACTTCATGATGCCTAGGTTTAGACCCATTAATTTGCACAATTAAATCTACATGTCGTCTTTTGTATATTTTTCAAACTTAGTATGATTCACTTCATGATACTCAAGTTTCTATAATAATACCCAACTCTGCTTGGTATTCATACATGGTATCACTGCAATAAATTCAGTAATACTGCACAGTTTTCTCCGATTAACGTGAATATTGTGATGTTTACGACCACATAGTGTATCTAATTAAAACAAGAATGTATGTAAGCATTTTGTGGGATTTTTAAAGTTCACAACTACCGACTAGCGTATATATATCTGTCATACTACAATAGAAAATCTTGCTACAAAGTAAATTACTCAACCAATCAAAAAACATTTTACTTCTAGAATATACCTGCATCATATTGTAGCATGGCTTTTTTCTGTTTGAAACGCGCATTCCGAGTGGCTCTTCCAAAATGTGAGATTTGAACGGTACTTTCTATTGGAGTTTATCAGATCTTCAGACGGCTTTCACAGTACTGTAAAATACTTCATTTTAGCTGGAATTAATTTTCACTGAAAAAAATGTTTTGGCAGTTCTGTATCAAGTTCATTTTCTCTGATTCTCTGAGTTGAATGTAAAATATAGGGGGAAGAAGTTTATTTGCTTCAGCAAAAATAGCGAAAATAAAGTATGTTACCATACAGTAAAACCAAATTACAAAAAAATGTAGTAAAAGTAATGGGGGAAAAAAAGACAATTTATTCTATAAAAGCCAAAACTATAGATATTATTTTAATCAGCTAGTGATACAAGTATTTCATAGCAAAATGCCACAACAGGCAATGATGTGCACCACGGTCATGATAAAAAACAGTCCATGTAATATACTCATTCATCCCCTATGCTTTTAACCAGCGGATCTGATTTACATCATTTAAAAACTAATGAGACCAGAGTGTTTTATGATACATAAAAATACTTTAAAACATGTTGAAAAAGCGATATGCAATTTTAGCGAATTGTAGTAAAATGACGTAAGAGTGAAATGTTGATTTAGCAAATCTCTCTTGTCATTGTTGATTTCTTGTTTGGCGGCCATTTTGAATTGATAATTAATGATAGTGACATCTTGAATTAGCGAATCAGTTCTCTCGCTAAATTCACGAAAAAGACATGCTCGCCAAAAAGACACGTTTTACAGTAACATCTTTGACCAAAGTGTACCTGTTTAATGTCATTGACAGTTGCTAGGCAACGTATAGCTCGTATCGATGACATTAGTCAATCCGTGTGTTACCTAATAAGTATTATAATAGTGATATTATATTTCTTATGCAAAAGTCTGAATAAGTGATATGTTGTCAATGATGTATACCGCTATGAGGCTTTTCACAGGCCTTTGCATGTTTGCATATCCACACTGGCGCAACATGTAATATAATAATTGTGATATTTAATAATTTTTCAGAAGAACTAAGAAAATTTATATTTTTTTGTGAGGCTTCTTTCATTTTTTTTTTTTAAGTTGTATGTTGTGCATTAATTAGGTTCTGTATGCATTGAAA